CCCCCCCCCCCCTTACAGCTGCTGGCAGATGAAGGGTTCTTGGAAGGGATTGGAGGCGGGAGGGGGTGTGTGAAATAGAATCAGAAGTAGAAAATAAATAGGTGGAGACATCCCTTTCACATGACTTCACTCTGATTCTTATAGGAAGGAAATGATTTTGCTTTACACTGAGTAACCCTGCCCAATTGGCAGGTCTGTATGCATTACTGAGCTGGCATGTGTCAAATCAGCAAAGAGCAACAAAAGGGCTTTTCTGTAAGGAGGAGGAAGTCTATGATCCCGAAGGAAATATGTCACCAGTTTTAAAAAGCACCTTATATTTTAGAGGAGCTCCAGTGAATTAGCTTACTCGAGTGCAATGGTGCATTTGGCTGAAGCTTTGATACGAAGGTAAAAGCAGCCACAGTACACTAATGGTAACAGCTGCTCTGGTTATTCTCTTAAACATCCTCTTGTTTTACCAGTACTAAACAAATGTGCAAACACAGCTTGAAAGGATGCATTGGTTGAAAGTGGGCCAAAATTTTACAAGGCTAGCAGATCACAGAGACACCAATAAGAGCATCCTCCTGTCTTACTTGCAAAGGGGCTACAGACATGGCAACAGCACTGAGTAGCAACTATTTAACACAGCTGTGTGGGGGATTGTTAAAAAAAAAAAAAAAGGCAGCTGACAAATTTTGCAAAGATTTATTTATATTTTTGAAACTGGAATGGCCTGCTTCTGGGTCTTTCTCATTCTACTATAGAAAGCCCAATATTTATTTAACACATAACAATAGGCTGGTAGTTGCATTAGTAGCTTTCCTATTGTTGGTTCAATTCTCTTAAGATTATATTCCCACCATGCCTTCTTTTCCAGAAATGCATATCATTATGGCATGCTGCAAAAATTACTTGTTACTTCGCTAACCTCAAAGGCAAATAGAATATCCTCGCTAACTATGCTCAGTCTCAGGTCTGTATAGTATTTATTTTGCAATTTAAAGTCATCATTTTAAAGGTCTTACTGATTTAGATTTAGGTGTAGTGGTAGGAGGCACGTAAGTGCCACGTCTGGTCTTTCTACAGCCCCGTCTCTAGAACTTCCTAAGTGCAAATCTGTTTTGCAAATAAATTCCATCAATATGAACACAGAATATCATACACAGAACTAATTATCAGCAGGGCTACGGGTTTTCTGTTTTCTGCAGAAAAAAGAAAAAAAGTACAGATTATCCCTTTTAACTGAGAAAACCATCAATTTTCCCTTTTAACTGAGAAACATGTGGATTTTCCACTTTTGCCAAGAGCTCTCTGCAGTCTGGCCAGGTTCCAGCCGGTAAAGGACTGAGGGGAGTGGGAGGAGGGCAGTCAGGCAGGGGGCAGCATGTGCATGTACAGTGCTCACACATGCACATGGCTGCCAGGCAGCTTGGTGAGCAGCTCCCGCAGGTAAGATTGGTGGGGGGTGGGTGGGGG